ATTTTTATTTCCATAATCATTCTGCTTGGGAAGGTCAAAGTAGAACAACTTTATAGAAATTATTTTAAAATTTCCAACATTGATTTAAAATTTTCTTTTAAGTTATTGAATAATTTCTGAATTGTTGTTCAATAATTAACATTCGCTCAAAGTATTTTCAGGCTCTTTTTGTTTATTTTTTCCTTGGGTGACAGGTTTTTGTTTATTTTATTTTCAGACAGTTAAAGAGATCCTCTTGGACAGTGATGGAAGAGTGACAGGTGTGCTGAATGCAGATGGAGAAGAGATAAAGGCCAGCCTGGTCTTATCCAATGCAACACCAAAGGTGACTTTTCTAAACCTGTTACCAAATGGGACTCTACCAGAGGCATTTGAGAATGCTGTTAAAAAAATTGACTACACCTCGCCGGTCACTAAAATAAATGGTAATCTTCCGTGTGTAATTCAAAAGACCAGCTACAGTCTCTTGTTTTTAGCTTTAGTTTCTCAGAATGAGGGGTTTTCTTTTCTTAAAGTTGCCATCAGCCGCCTACCCGAGTTTCGCTCCGACCCTTGCAAAATCCCGGGCCAAGCAATGCCGCATCACCAGGCGACCATCCACCTGAACTGCGAGGACATGAGCCTCCTGGATGAGGCTTACGACTGTGCTAAGAGAGGCGTCATATCTGAGAGGTAGGAACTAAGAAAAGATACTCTAGGGCAGTCGTGTGTGCAGCATGGCGCATTTGGACTATCCAGAAAGTACTACGTCATTCGCCGTTACGAAACTTCCATGCAAGCTCTCAAGGCGCCTGATGGGTAGGCAACATCTTGCCAGCAGTGCATGCGCGTACTGCGGGGTGGCCTACCCCAAGTTTAGCAGGCGCCGAGCGTCCATAATTTGCAAAATGAATCTGAGGAAAACGGACGCACTTTTTGGACGATCCCTTGTGGCTGGAGCGATGGGCCTCCCCCCCTATGGGCTCTTTTATTTGGGGGCATCGTACTGGTTTGTTGGACCTTCCCACTCGAGCGCCAGAGGAGGCCCATCTAGCGGACGGTCAATACTTCCTGGCTACCGCTTCCCTGCAAGTCTATATACTCTGTTTCTTGCTTGCCCTACATGTTGCAACATCAGGGTGAATCAGCAGCGTGGTGCAGATTCGACGGCACCAACGTTATCATTCACTTTTAACTTGGTATAACTCAATATGCCATGAATATGACTTTGCTGTTCTGCCCCGCCGAGCCCGAGCGAGCAGAGATTATGAGACAGATTGCAGATGGGTCGTTAACGTGCCGCGTCACCAACTCTTTTGACCGCAGGCCGATGATCGAGATGGTCCTTCCCTCCGTGCTGGACCGCACCCTGGCGCCGGAGGGGGCCCACGTCTGCTTGCTGTTCACGCAGTTCACGCCCTACAACCTACCGGGCGGCTGGAGCGAGCACGCCAAGGAGGCCTACGCCTCGAAAGTACGTGTCAGGCCAGGCATAGTGGTAGTGGCCCCCTTTCGGTACACTGAGCATCATCACTCGCAGGGTTGCCAGAAAAGTAGGCAATAAGTTAGCCCAAACAGAGGTGTGGAGCGGGATGCGTTTACTCAGGCCTTCACGCGGCCACCTCCACGCTTTATGTGTTTGGGCTACTTATTGACTACTTTTCTGGAAATAATTGTCACGTCACTCACACTGTTAAATTCCTACAAAGCATTTGCTTTGCAGAGCTGCGAAGTATTTTGCTCCTT